AAGTTTTCAGGCTCAAGGAAGATGTATAAGCCCAGAATGATGCTTGGGAAGACATAAATTGTTGAGACCTTGTTGTATCCCCAAATAGAAGTTTGAGGTCAGAGTTTGAAGAAAAATACGAATATTTTAACATATTTTCTTTTAATGCAGTTTTTTTTTCTTTAGGCTAAACCAGACACCTCTTGAAGCCTGTACTAGAAGTGGTAGTGATAGCTAAGTGGATTTGAGAGTAGTTAGCCAAAATATTCAGCAGGCTTTTCTTAACATCCTCAGCCATTTTGGAAGGCTTATCAATCAACTCTTCATCCTACAGCAGTTTTTACTTTCTCATGTAGCTATTTTAAGGTTGGATGTCTTTGGTGGGGGGATGTTATTTTATCAGACATTTTTAACTTTTGAGAGATTTTGGAGAAAAAAGTGTTTTTTTTGCACTTAAAAAAACAGTTTTCTTACTTTCTTGGTATTTTGAGTAACATGTTAAAATTTTCATACTCAAAAAGCTAAACAAAGGAATTCAGAATTCCAGGTTTCACTCAGCATTCATCTATTTTTGTTACTGCATTAATATATTATCAATAGATTCTAAAAATTCAATTGATATGAAATACTAATGCATTTTTTTATTCGTATACTTAATGTTTGCCATAGAACAATCACTGAAATATAAAAACTTTGGCAATTGTCTTACAGGCAATTAGGTAGACATGGTTTAAACTACTCTCCTTTGGTGGGCCTTCTAATTTATAACTTTAAAATATTGGTTAAAACCAGTAAGAAGGATGAAAACCTAAAACTTAAAAAGTGTTATCAATTTGTTAAATTGAATCTATTTCTCAAACCAGTATTATGTAGCAGCAAAAAAAAAAGCCTCCTTATTTATTTTTTAATTACTGAGAAGCAGTTTTCCAAAATTCACGTTTTTGCCTGAAAGCTCACATTTTATCACCGGTAACACATAACACATGCTGTCAGTTTTTCTTGACGTGTCAGGCTCACTTTGCTCATTTTGAGGAAAATGTAGGTCAAACAGAAGTCTAAATAACCATAGTTTGTCAGTTACACCTTTAAGGAAAAATGATGTTCCATGAAAAATGTGGCTAGTTCGACTCCCAGTGCAATGCTCTTTTGCACAGTTTGATTTTCAGAAAGACAGCTGTGGTCCTTTGGTATGCTGCAGAATGCCTTGTGCTTACTTCCCCTTTCATCACGGGTATCTTATTAATGGGACATACCCCAAACTAGCTAGGTTCTTAGAACTACTTTACACTAGATGTATATAGAATCTTTTCGAAATAATTAATATTTTAACCTGAATTACATCTTGGGGCAGAATTTTCTTATGACCAAAATACATACTGCATAAGAGAGCATTTTAAAGTTGATCATAAGTGTTTCCTATCTCTTGTGTTAAGAAACCCATGTTAATCCTCTCCACGTCAACCTGTTCAGTAGACATCGATTGTATTTTCCTACTTTTTCTGTCTAGGAACCTGTATTTGTCATGCGCCTTCCCCAGGCAAGTCAGCGCTTGTATCATTTTAGTTAACTTCTTAGTCTCCTTCACCAGTGTTCCTCGCTCCCTTCTGAGCACATGGTTGTAGACAGTGTAATGTTTAGTTTCCCATGTTTTTCATTTGACTCAGCAATTTTTTGACTATTTGGGTCTTAATCTGTGATGAATTTCATCAAACTCAAAGCTCATTACTTTAAGAATAATTTGAAGCATTTTCCTTGAAATTTCTAATTCATACAAGAGATACAGGGATAGTCTTTATATTATGAGCTTTAGTACCAAGGGTAACTGGTCTGCAGACCACCCCCGACCCTGGAAATCCAGGGACAGATTGCCCTAGCCCATCCAATAGAGACTGGTGCCATGAATTTTTTTTTCTCATTCTCTATCTACCTTTGTGCATGATTTCAAAAAGATGAGTTTAAGTTTCCCCACAAGGTCTTGCCTTGGCCAAATGGAAACTGGAATTCCACTTAGTGTGAAACCCTTTCCAGTATAACTTCCAGTACAACACAGTCATTTTCATGCCGTGGTATCGCAGGAGTAGAACTGACTCATAGATTCATTCAGCAAACACGAATAGAGCACCTCCGATGGACTAGATGTTTGAGGAAGGTGGAGGACAGACACAGTTCCTTTCCTCATACAGCGCGGTGAGCACCATGGAAGGGCTGAAACAAGTCCTCGGAAAGCAGGCAGTGGGGAGTGAGGGCTGCTTAAGGATTTCCAGAGGAGGTGGTGGATAGGACTGGTCTGGACTGAGCGAAAGGATTTGCGTCAGAGGGAACAGCATGAGCGAAGATAGGTTCCTGAAAATAGGGCTGTTTCCATCTGGCCTCTCCTTAGGGCGTGGGGTGGTCAGTGGGCCGGGTTGGGAGAAGTCCCAGGTCTCCCCTGCCCAGCTGATGCTCTGACGCTTGAGGTCCCTAGGATTCCTGGCAGTGGGAAACTGGCCTTGGTTCCCACAGCTTTACTAAAGCTGTCTGTGATTCAGAAAGAAGTTGATGTGCCTTTAATCACTGTGGGGAAGATTGCACAGCTCTCTGGGGAGTGGGGATTTCACTGTCCGCTTGACTTACCTGTGGTCCTGATGACCTTTGCTAGACTTGCTGACGGGCTGTTCTATTCCTTGAGCAGAGGTGGAATCTCGTTGGGCCACTTTGGTGTGAATTCCTATAGGCCCTTTGAGGGATTACCTGGTCATGTGCTTTGCTTTTCGGGTCTGGAGGGGGGTGGTGGCCTGCTGGGATGGGTGGTCAGAGCCTAGGCTGCACGTGTTAGTGTGTGTGTGTGGTGGGAGAGGGTGGCTTACTTGGGCCCTTGCTCAGAGCCCCCTTGGCTGGGTTTCTCTCCGTTAGCTCAGAAAGTAGCGAGCTGCTCTGCAGCTTTCTTATCACAGCCCTTTCGCCTCGTGGCTGGGTGAGCCTGATCGTGTTCATTTTGAACTTTTACAGTTTGCTTTGTGTTTCAAAGGTTCTTTTCCTTTTTTTTTTTTCTCCCCTCACCAAGTTCTCTGGTCTGCAGGGCTCATTTCGGGGGTACTTTTGGTTCTGTTCATGGTGTTGGTCATTTCTTTTTTTCTGGGCTTCTTTACTGATCATGCTTTGCATGCTAATATTTTTGTCCTGTGAGTAGCAGGAAACATCACAAGTTCTGAAAAGGGGGATGATGTAATCCTCTGTCTGAGAGCAGTTTTTCTAGCACAAAGTATGGGTTACAGAGGGCAGAGCCAACGGCAGGGGGACGAGGTGGGAAGTTATTTCAGTAGCTCAGACGATAGGTTAGAACCTGAGCAAGGTCATGGTTGGATCAGGGCAGAGTTGAGAGGATGTGAATAGTGGAATTTGAAGGAAAGGGAGAAGCCTTAAGATGATGCTCACATTCTAGGTTAAACAACCAGGCTGCAAGTCGGAGGGAATATAGAAAGGCATGTGCCTTGAAGGGGGATTTTGGTTTTAGAGAAATTGAGTTGGGTTGCTTGTAGGATAACAAGGAAGAACTTGTCAGCAGGTAGGCAGATGGAAATAAGGGCTGAGGGCCCAGGAGAAATACTAACAGGAGAGAGATTTGGGTGTCCTCAGCGTAGAGTGAGTGATAATTTACCCATTT